TGAAATCATTTGCAAGAGGGTAAACGGGGTCTGGGCCAGAGTGTGTCTTAGGCAAGGGGTGCCTGACATCAGACTGTGTCAAAGCCGGGAACAGATTTGTAGGTGATGGCGAGCAAAGCTTCCCACTTGCCTGGAGTACACTTCCCTTCTCCTGTAACACAGAGTCTGTGTGAGCAGGAGGCTCTAGGATTGTGGAGCTGTTCACGGGGCTCTAGGCACCTTTCTGGTGGCAGAAGCTCTTGGGCTGTGGGACTCCTTGTGTCCTGCTGTGGCACTAGGAAGCTGCTTTCTGCGCAGGGAGCAAGTCCTGCTTTGTCCCCAGTTCAGAGCAGTCTGAATGGTGCTAGGCCAGCTCCGGTTCTGGCTGGTTGACCGCCTCTTCTGCTCTGGCCTCAGGGGAGATTCGGGAGTGGGTGTTAGGGCAGCACACAGCCCAGCACCTCATGTTGCATTGTGCATGCTTGGATGGCTATTACGGAGAAAGCAAAGTGGCACTGGGCAGGGGGTGGAAGGAGGTCCCTAAATTGGCCTGCTGTATCTGATGGCATAAGAAAAGGTCCAGCAGCAGAGGATAAGGGTGAGTGCCTCTGCGTATGATCCAAGCAATCCCACGCACCTCTCGTGCTGGGGTTGGGCTCAATTAGCAATAAGGTAATGCAGAGTTCATCCTGGACCTCCTCTCTAAGCCTGGCCATGGCTCCTGGACTTCCTTCCTCCTGCCTCTCCTGCTCACGCCCATGGCCCATATCCCGGGGGAGCCCTTCCCTGTGAGTCAGCCACCCTCTTAACTCTTACCTCCCGGCCAGGCCGTGATCAGGTATCAGCAGCCGAGGCAGTTTGTGCCAATAGTATCAACCTTTCCCTGTGCCCTGCACCCCTTTGCCCTTGCTGTCGTGAGGAGGGCAGAGGGGTCTAAGCTTGCTGACAGGGAGGAAGTCATGCTGACACTGCCAGGGGCTGGAGAAGGCCACAGAATGAGTTTCTGCTGCTTTTGGAGACAATTCAAGGGGAAAAAGTGTGGGGAAGCTAACATGAGGAAGGCACTGAGCAAAGCCACCTTAGAAGCCCTTGCCACTTGCTGAAGGCATGGAGGGAGCTGGTGGACGCTGCCCGAAGGGACCTGGCGTGGATGCATGCGGAGGGCTGGGGAAGAGCCTCGCCAAGCTGTGTCTGGGTATCATCAACAGCCTCCTTAGGACTCCTTGGCCACTCAGAGGGTCAAATGCTGTGAGACTGATGGGGCTGCATCTCCCCACCTCTAGGTCTTTCTCAGAAAGGAAGTGGACGTGGAGGAAGAGAAGCAGGAGGCCAAGAGCCCCCATGCTGGTGGTTTCTGCTCGCCGGTGGACCGAGGCTCACCCTTCTACGCGGTATGTGCCCCAGCCGTCGCAGTCTAGATGGGCCTTACTGAGGGGTGCAATGTGGCTGGGTTTGAGACTGAGCAAAGGAGGGCTGTGAGTCAGCTGCCGAGGCCACGGTGTACAGAGAGAGCGGTGAGACGTACGCGCTACGGGCTGGTGATGTGCCTGGGAACAGGGATGGATGGAGCATCTCCAGTTTAAACTAGCGAGGGGCAAGCTGGGCACAGTGGGCACTGTGGCACAGTAGCTGGGGCTGGTACCTAGGCCAGCCCCCATGGCTGAATGGTTTTATCGCTTCCAAGGGGGCTGAATTAAAGGTTCTTCCAGCACTGGCCAACGTCAAGAGACTGAAGATCCTGAAGTCACAGGAGGGCCTGAGAATCTGTGTTTCTACAAAAAAAAAAAAAAAAAAAAAGGAGGGGGGAAGGATTTCTCTAGTTCTTGTGGTTAGGCAGAAAGGCTTTGAAAAGCAACTCCCATGTTATCAGCAGGGCAACACATGCCAGAGTGGTTAGAGAGCCTGAAACAGTTGCCTGAGACCTGCTGCTCCACAGAGTCCCCGGAGATACCACCCTGGCAGGCTGCTGGGTACAGCTGGGATCTCCAGTAGGGCAGATCATAGCCGAGCCCACCAACTGAGCCCACCAGCAGAGCCTGCCCTCAGGGGTGGACTTTTTGCAGTATAGATCAAGGAAGCAGTTGCTGCCTGATCAGAGGAGGCAGCAAGCAGAGTCCTGCACCTCCGCGCTTGGCTGGGCTTGGGGTTTGACTTGGGAGAGGTTTCTCCAGCAGAATGCTTCAATGCTTCCTGTTTACCTTAGCTTAGCATTGACCATCATGTGGTCAAGGGCTTGGCCCGACTTAACCTGGGATGCAGAAAGTGTGACTTCCAAGGCTTGCGGGAGAGCACACAGCCAAAGTGGTGCTTTGGGCAAGACCAGGCCCCAGGGGCAGCTCTGCCCCTGGACAGTGGTGGGGCCCTGGGCTCCTCTGCTGTCCTGGGAAGCGACCGCCTCTGAAG